CACATTTCTAGTGTCTCCTGACCCAAGGGCCCCATCCTCTGGCACTGTTTATGCCAATGTTCTCCGTCCATTCATCAGACTTTCAGTGTCTGACAATGTTTTGAAGCTATTCATCAGGTTTTAGTGGCCACTTCTTCTGAAGTGGGCAGCCAATTCCTTTTTCATAGTCTGCTCTAGGTCTGGAAACTCTGATGAAGCCTGTTCACTTTGGGTAATACTACTGGCATTTGAAATTCCAGTGAGATTGTCTCCAGCATCACAGCAACACACAAACCACCAAAGAATAAAACCAACAGGGAACAAGTAGAGAGAGAGAAACAACACCATCAAAAGTGTATAGCCATAGTGATTCACTGAGTTCTCAAGAGAAGTAAATCCTGTGGTACTTATATGTGTTGAAAGATATTTATGTCAAAAGATGGTTCACATGGTTGTAGACGTGAGTCAGTCCAGTCTGGTTCAATTCTGTGACTCAATTAGTAAGCTGGAAACGTCTCCTGAGTCAGGTAGCTGAGTGAGTTGATAAACGAGGAAACAGAAAAATGAAGCAGGAAGACCAGAAGCTGATGGATGCTTAGTCCAGTGAATCCAAGGTTGGCAGCCTGCTGATGACTCTTGGGATCGACTGTTACTATAGCAGGAAGTCGAAAAAAACAAAACCACCCAAAACATGCAGGGTTCAGACTCAGAAAAAGTACCAAGTTTTCCCACGGAGTCTTCTTTAAAAAGGAGCAGGCCACCCCCCCAATGAGGCTTTATCCTATTACATCAAGGCTATGATCTGTTTAAGGTCCAGCATAATTCCTGGCTGCTCTGAGTTGAATATATTATGTTAAATCCCATCATGGAGTTGATTAGGTTGTGTTAGACCACATCATGGAGGATTCCTGTCAAACTACTGAGAACCCAGCTGATTCAAGTTGACATAAAATCTATCATATACCTAGATGGAGCATATATGAAATGATACATTAATATTTTTATTTAATAAAATTTTCAGTGATTTGTAGCCATATTTTATCTCGTTTGCTCTGTGGACTTTTAATTTATAAGCATTCCTTGGAAGATTTTCAAACTAAAGTTAGCTTAGGGACAAAGTAGATATGTTCTTTTCTGTATTTATACTGACTTTTTGCATTCTTCATGTATGATGTTCAGGATATCATCTCATAGCTCATCTGGTTTTCTGTCATACTGATGATACTGGCAAAATTCTTCAAATTCTCCATCACTAGCTTTAGTGGTTGGTGTATAAATTTGAATAGCAATTGTATTGACTGAATTTCCTTATATGAGGATAGATAGTATCCTATCACAGACAGCACTGTACTTTAAGATAGTTCTTGAAATGTCCTATTTGATGATGAATGTGGTTACATTCCTATAGAATCTTTCATTCCAGGCATAGTAAACCTTCTGATTCTCTGATTCAATATGGCCAATACCCGTCCATTCGGCTCACTAACACCTAGGACATCAATCCTTATGTGCCACATTTCTTTTGTGACAACTTCTAATTTTCCTAGATTCATATTTTGTACATTCCAGGTTCCAGTTATTAATAAATGTTTACAACTGTCTTTTCATTTTGAGTAATAATTCATCATCAAATGAGCAAATGAAGGTCCC